ATATAATACTCTGTACATATGGGTTAATTCCTTGTGTAAGAGATTCTTCATGAAATGAAAAATGGCCTGGCATGCTCGCCGTTTTCTCAAAATGGCAGACTTGCTGTTGAGTTTACGGAAAAGTGCTTGTTGACTTTCTTGTGCATCCCAAACTGCCACACATGCGTCCCAAATGTCGTAGCTCCAGGTCAAACGGCATTCTGACGGGACTCTGTTGAAATTTTGTAGGGGGCTGTTTTAGTGCTTTGTGCTGGTCGACTTTTTGGTGCATCTCAACCTGCTGCATATGTCTACCAAATTGAGTAGGTCTAGGTCAAACGTAGTCCTGACAGTAGTCTGTTGAAAGGGGGCGCTGTGGAGCCATTTTGCCACTGACAGCCCCAATTCCTTTAAAATATCAAATTTTTCACCAGTCCTGAAGTGTGTGCCAATTTGATGAGTTTTTGTGCATATTTAGGCCCTAAAATTTGCGTTTCCTTTTTGCGGAGAAGTATAATAATAAACCCAATGGTTTTAATAGGGTCCTTGTTGAGCTCGGACACTGATAAGGGATTGCTTAAGTATGGACTCTCTTCAAGTCAGTATTTAGTAGATGCACCGTTGGTATGATTACGTCTCAAGTCAGCCTTGCAATTTGCAAAACTGCTCCAGCTCGGTCAGGCTGCACAGCGCTTGTAGAAGAGCTGCCATTGTCAAGTCCAGAAACTAATTCTCAGGTGGACTGAGGCCGCTCCAGGACGTTCACCTTGTGCTGCAGAACAAATCTTTTCCTAAGTTGCAGTTTCCTTGCAGACTGCATCGGCTGGTCTTCCAGGATCTACCTACGTTCTGCTGCACTCATTTCACCCTTCAGCTTTGCAAGCCTTCCAGAGCCTGCTGCCAAGAAACATCATGATGCTGCCACCGCCGTGCTTCACGGTGAGGATGGTGGGCTTCTGTGGTCGCTTCAGACCAAAGAACCTTCTTCTGGTTGACCTACGAGGTCTCCCACAGGCTTTCTGGCACAATCCTTCCTTCCATTTTTAAACTATGGATTTAACTCAGATATTCAGTAAATGTTCTCGTATCCGGTGGATTTACAAGGTTAATGTATTGATTAGTTGTTTCTGTGATGATGATAGTGGAGAATGGCGTGTACCACATCACTCCAGGAACTCCTTTTGGTGTCCAGCTGGCTTAGACTGTAAAGGTCGCAGCATGTAAGCCATGATTTTGCATCCTCATTAAACCGTTGAGCGAGTTTCTGAGGACTGTGTTGAAGCATCATCGTTCACTCTGTATCTCCACTCATTAGTTCATAACGTCCTCCTATGATCTACACCATGCATACAGTGTACATAGAGTGATATATGTAGGGGGTCAGTGTGTTGTCCAAGGTGCTCATCAGGTTTCCCTTTCATCTCCTGGAAACCCAACCTCCTGCTTTTACCTTGAGTCTGTGTCTTCATGCATTTCATCTTCTCATTTCTGGATCCATTCATACAGATTGTTTCGCTTTTGTTGAGAGCAAACCGTCTTCTCCCCATTCAATCTCAATACAGTTAAAAGTACTTCTGTTGGTTCAGTCAACTCTATCTTCTCCTTTTTTTTTTTTTTCCTGCCAAGCTCGTCATTTCTTACAAGGATAATCTTTACTTTAGGGATTATGAAGCTATCCTGTAGTCATCACTTTTTGTCAGCTTAGCTCATATTAGCCAGCAACCCGTAGCTTTACGGTCTGAGCTTTGTATCTCAGTTCAAAAGGAACACCGAAGATTTGTGCCACGGTTCAACCATAAGTCGGTTAAATCAGCATGGCGGTCGTTCACAACCCCCAGTTCCTCGGTTCAGAGCCCAATCAGTGAAGATGAAGCGCTCAACTGTTGCCAGAGGTATTCCAGTAATACCTTTCTTTAGGAAAGTAAATGTTGAGTGGAGCTAGTGGGAGTTAGCCTCCTGCCCTTGCCACATACTGTGGAGGAAATAGGCAGTAGTTAGATTCTAACTACATCTGTCATTTTGAAGGTCAGGATGGAGTCCAGCTGTGATTTAATTGCCGCAATGTGTTGTTCTCAAGAAGAAACCAGAGGCCTGTAAAAACTGAGGATGTCGCCCCCACAGCCTCTGGAAAGCTCAGAATTAGTAATTCACAGGGACACACAGCAAATGGTCTCTCAATCTGTAAGGGACATGCACCCACCAAACAAAGTGTAGAGCTGAATAAACAACTCTGTCTGCCCCACTGTTTGCTTTTGATGGGCTGGCTGAGTCCCCAGTGTGGCATCCAGTGACAGGCCTGCAGAACATTGAGCTTTTGATTTGTAAGTCTTTCCCATTGCTCAAAAAGCCCGAAGGCTGCTTGACTGAATTAGGAGTTGGAGTGTTATCTCCCCAACGGAGGCAGAGCACTGATTGCTGCCCTCATTGGTAGTGAAGAGCACGTTTGCCTCGTGTAATAGCTGCCATAGAAACCACATCAGCCAAGTAATTGTTTAGGCAACCTCAGAAAATTAAGAGGACAACATTAAAATGCGTTCGTTTGGCTTCTTCTTGCTTCTCTGGGGCTACATTTTTTATCGAATGTTCAATTTGTGGGGCTGCAGTGCCCAGAAGATTGACAGCTGTGGATGAGAGAGCGCTGGGATCCTCTTTTCACTTTCTTTGTCCCCTGTTCGTTCAGGGCACAGATTTGTCTCAGTTTATGGTACATTTCTGGGTAGTAATGGGCTGGTTCTGGTAGTTTGGATCATCCTTATGTCACTGTACTTTGAAATGCTGCGTGTTATGAATGTACGACCAGTTGTTTCAAATGATATGTTGAAGGTTTTGTGGCGTTGTGGAGGCTGTGTTGTCAGCTTTGAAGCTACACCACAGGCTCTGCTGTAGCTAGCATTTACCTTGAAGATGTTCCTAGACAGCAGAGCTACAGTGGGAACATCACATGGGGACCACCAGAAACATTACCGGCTAGCTTGAGCTGCTGTTGTTTTTTGCAGTGACTGCAGCTAAATCTGTTAAAGCCAGACAGTTTTGGGCATGTTTTTCTTTCATATGGGCTCATTTTTCTCTGCAATATAAAATCCTGCACCTCTAAGTGAACGACGCAGCCGTGGCTGGAAGTAGAGAGAACTCCCAGATGTCTGCAGGCCAAGTGCCCACAGTTAGTACCAATGCTGGAAAACAATGGCATCACTACATCTATAGATATTGTACTGCTGTTTCTCCTACTTCCTGCGTGAACACGGTCTGCAGTTCAGCCCTGGTTTTTGTCGGCTGCAGCAGAGTCATCAACGGCTTTACGTTTGTGCTGAGAAACATGAAGGCTGAAAAGCAATTATTTTGGTTTTTACAGCTCTGATAAACGGTGTAAATCTGGTGACAACAAGCCCTCCGGTGGGTGTTGTTGTTTAAAGGGTTAAACTGTGATACGACTGAATCAGACTCTGTGCTGTAGTTGTGTCTAGCGGGACTCTCAGCTTAACTCGTATACATCACAGAAGGGCTAGTCCTGTTTGTTGTTGTATTATTCACATGATGTCGTCACTAACTCAGTATTTAAAGTATAACATCTCAGCGTCGTCCAGTAGGTCTCCGGCAGTTGGACATTCAGCCTGTCCACAGTACAGTCAGTCAGTGAGTATGCTTGATTAGTTTTTGGCTTAACAGCTCTCTGTATGGCACGTCACTGAGGCCACATCTACACGGAGCCGGGATTCACAAAAACGGATCTGTTTTCATAAATAACATCGTTCTCACCAGATCGTTTTCAAAAAACCCTTAATTCACACAAACTCGCAGAAACACGTTGTTAAGAGCTGCTATGAGCTGCCAGACCTACAGGGGGCAGTGCAACGAGGAGCATAAAGCCATGCTAGCCAATCAGAATCCTGGAAAAAACACAACGATGAAAACTTCAATGATAACGGCGTGAGGGTGTTTTTTTGGATGGAGAGAGAAGTGGAGCTGCTCCTACATGTGGTGTCAGAGACACAACAAGGAAACACTGAAAACATCGACTGTAAACATGTCAGTCCATATATGGACGTAGCCATACTGTAAACATGTCAGTCCATATATGGGCGTAACCACACTGTAAACATGTCAGTCCATATATGGACGTAGCCACACCGTTTCCATTATCATTGTTATTATTATTACTATTTTTAGTAGTAGTAGTAGTACCTTCTTTCTTACTATTATATAATTGTACAGTAAGTTATTGTCATTATTATTACTAATTTTGGACCGTGCTGCTACATTGTGTAATATATATATATACACATACATATTTATTTATATACATTTTCATTTATGTTTTATATATATATATTTTAATATATAAACCGATGCACACTGATTGTTATCATATTACATAGCATATTACTATTATCAGTATTATTATTTATTACACTGCTATTATTATTATTATTATTATTGTTATTGTTATTACCAGTATTACACCATGCTGCTGTCCTACCTATCTAACAGTTTGTTTCCTTTGTTTCCTTGTTTACTGCTTTTTTTTTCTTAATGATGTGTGCTAATGTCTTTGTCTGTGTTGTGCTGCTGCTAGAACAACAATTTCCCTGAAGTACCCTACCGAAGGAATCAATAAAGTTCTGTCTAAGTCTCAATCTAAAATCTGAAACTGTAAACATGTCAGTCCATATATGGAAGTAGCCAAATTGTAAACATGGTCGCATACTGATGACGCTTTAGTCGCACACGGTGACGTCAGACTCCGCCTCCTCCCGTCTACATGCTAACGTACAGATGCAGTTTTCAGATGTGATGGTTTTCGGTGACTCGTGGCTTCGTCTACGTGTGAACCAAAGGCCCATTGAGGTATCTCTATTTAGCCTACATGTGAACCGGGCCTCCGGCTTCTGAGAGCAGTGACACTCTTTGATGTCCATGCCTTCATAAAGGGCAGCGACATGGACAACAGGATGGAGGAGGTTGTCTCTGATGAACACTGTAATTGATGTTGTCACAACACCAGAACTGTTCTGTGTTTCCAGGCTGTTACGGCGTGGACGGCGAGAGCGACTCAATTATGAGCTCGGCGTCAGAGAACTCGACCGAGCCTTGGTTCTGCGACGCCTGTAAGAACGGCGTGACTCCCAGCTGCGAGCTGTGCCCCAACCAGGATGGCATCTTCAAAGAGACAGACGCCGGGAGGTGGGATACAGTCGCACATTAACCCGGTGGTCAGTTGTCATTTATGAGAGGCAGCCACTGGAACGTGTTCAGAAACAAATAACGCCTAATGACCGGAGCCGGTCCAAATGCTGCACGCTGCCAGAGGCTAAATCCTACATATATATTCACTGCTAGGGAGAAACGGCAGTTGGATTAAGAAGAGGAGAGAGAAGTGGGGAAGGAACGAGAGAGGAGATGGAGGGAAGAGAAGAGATAGAGGAAGAAAAGTAGTGAGAGAAAAGAGTGTGTTATGTGAAGCGTGGAGACTTCAGCCACGTTATCGCTGATAGTGCTTCTCAGCCAGGCTGCACCCGAATTTACTACTTCACTAGAGCATGAAAAACACAGCAAATTAAACTGTGAAGCGGTTGCTTGCTAGAGATGGATATCTTTATATTGGACTTCGGATTCTCTTCCCTAAAGTCCGCATTTGAAATTGTGTCACACCAAACTGTAGCCAGAGTCTGGGGCTACATAAATCTATGAGTCCATTTCTTTTTGAAGTGTCTGAGCAACTCATTGCAGCCAATTTCATCATATTAACTTTCTTATTGTCCTCAGTAAGTCTCTACACTAAATTCAGAAATAAACTAGAGCCATAGATTGTAATCTGCTTTATAGCGTTCCTTGAAATCAGCATGCACAAATCAATACGGGTTAAATGCCACCTTTAAAAGCTGCTCTTCATCTTGAATCCTTCTCAGGTCAGATTTTCTCACCGATGTGCTGCATGTTGTGTTCCTCTGTGCCACACTAATTCATCAGCCGGCTGTATTTTCTCCTGTGATGTTTCCAGGTGGGTGCATGTGGTGTGTGCGCTCTACGTTCCTGGAGTGGCGTTCGGAGACATCGATAAGCTACGACCGGTGACGCTCACGGAGATGAATTATTCAAAATACGGGGCCAAGGCAAGTTCTCTTTTACATACTGATGCTGGCTGGCGTGGATGTCCGTACCGACCGGGGGTAACAGCCTGCAGGAGCCAGCGTTTAGATTCTCTGTTTTTTAAAGCGTATATTAGTTTTATATCCAATCCCCCTTCGGTAGTTATTTTTCACTATCAGGACAAAAAGCTGCATCTTCTGAAGGAAATGTGGGGAGCTCAGTTTGAAATCTCAGTTGTAGCTGAAGCTGAAGCATGTGGGCATGACAAAGCACTGAGAGGGTTCAGTGTTAGTTTGTGTTTTAGGGATGAAAGTAATCAATATTTTAGGTAAAGGTTGGTCAGGTCAGGGGAAGTTTGTGGTAATAACAGTGTTCTGAAAATAATTAAGCTCTTGTTTTAGATGGATGGGAGGTTGGAATCCCATAGCAGCTTCATTTCCAGGTAGACCTCTGGAAGGTTTTAGAGGCGTGTTGTCTTTAAATAATCACCAATAAACTACCATTTAGTGCTCCTTGCTGCAGCTGAAAAGCTTTCAGTGATGCTGTGAGTAACAGTTAGGGGACAAACATCAGGAGCAGGCTGTGGCACACCCAGCAAAGAAATAAAAATACAACAAATACCAGATCTGTGATTTATTTCCAGCACTGGTAGCACATAGCGGAGCTTGAAAATGTTGGACTTATTGATTACATCATTTACAATTTTTTATAAATAAATAAACTTTCTGATGGATGGCATCATAACTTTATCATACCACCTGGAGGACATGTCTGGTTTCTCTACCTGTTAGAGGGACAGAGCTCATACTGCAGTGAACAATGAGCAAACTGGTCAGAATGGTACCAAACAAACAAGTGGCCAGAGCTGCCTGGTATTTAGCAGGTTTAGGGGAACGCAGGAAAACAGTTTAAGCGTCATTTTATCATCCTTATACTGCTAGTGTTTGGATAATGGAGTAGTTACCTGACACACCTGTCACCTGGCTGCACTGACAGCAGCTGGTGTGTCAGTAGGAGTATAAGAGCTAAAGGTGGTACTAACAGGAGCACCTGTCAGGTAGGAGTGTGTGCTGTGAGACGTCGGTTTCAGTGAAAGCACTGACAGCAGCTGACAGTGACAGAGCAGAATAGCAGCGTTTTAAAGTCCTGCTGGAGCCTTATTGTGGTCTCTGTGACACTTCCTGCTGCTTGACACTGCCCCAGTAAACCTGCTCCGAGGGACATCACAGAACACGTTTCAGCGGTTTGTTTTCTGGTTCTCAGTCATCCAGGTCATGGTAATTCTAGGAGCTCCAGTAGAAAGCATCTGGGCTCCTCTTTTATGTTCCTGACGACATTACATCTCCCATTTCAGACTGTTGAGTTGTGGCAGAGGTTTCTGGAGCAATGTTTTCATGCTGCGATAGAGCTAAAGGTGCTGAGTCAATGACTAATGAGACAGAATGCATCACATTCATATTATCAGGTAGATAGATGTCAACTGTTAACACACCACAGGACAAAATGACATATGTCGATGGAAATAAACCCGGTTCTAATGGGCTGGGAGGAACCAGGGTTCACTTTGTCCTTTTAAATGTGCTGTACTTGTTCTGTGTAGGAGTGCAGTTTCTGTGAGGATTCCCGCTTTGCCAGGACCGGCGTGTGCATCAGCTGTGATGCAGGAATGTGTCGCTCCTACTTCCACGTCACCTGTGCTCAGAGAGAGGGACTGCTGTCTGAAGCTGCAGCAGAGGAGGTCGGTGGAGCAGCCTGAACATCCAGCACACAGCAGCATACTACTACTGAACATGACATGTAAACAGCTGGCACGACAACCACAGTAACGCTAGACCAGGGCTTTATGACACAGATGCAAACGACCACACCAGGAGGTGAAGGACTTCCTGATTTTAGAGCAAAACAGTCCCTTAAAGATCATGTCAGACATGTTTTATATATATATATAATACTCTGTTCTGAAAAAATATTTTAGTTTTTATCCATAAGAAGGCCTGATTAGCTTGTTATGAAAATTTCCTCAGCACTGTTAGACGTTGGAGGTGGATCAGAATCAGAACCAGCTTTAGTGGCCCCAGCCGTACACAACACACAGGGAACTTGGTGTTGGCCGTTGGATTCACCCTGGGAATGAGCAATAGGAGAATAATAGAATAGGAAAATAAAAAATAAAGTAAAATTACAATAGAAAAAATAAATAAAAATAAGGTGACAAATATATACAAGAATTTACTCTTAAAACTGTGAAGCTGCTCAGTGCTACAGAAATCACATGGTGATACTGGGATGATTCAGCCGTACAAGGTTAAATGTGTAGAAAAGAGACACAGAATGTCCTGCCCTACACGCTGATGGAATCGATTCCTGAGGTTTGTTGTAAATGAACCCAGGAAGTGTCAGTCTATGGTGTCTGAAGGTGGAGGTCTCAGTCTGTGGTGTCTGAAGGTCTGACAGTGGAGGTCTCAGTCTGTGGTGTCTGAAGGTCTGAAGGTCTGAAGGTGGAGGTCTCAGCTTAATGCTTGGTTCTCTCAGCACATGTTCCTAACTTTGTGCGTCTCAGTTGTTCTGGATTGTTAACAGACTTGTTTTTGTCTCCTCAGGACATCGCTGATCCATTTTTCGCGTACTGCAAACAGCATGCAGACCGCTTTGACAGGAAGTGGAAGAGGAAGAACTACCTGGCCTTGCAGTCCTACTGTAAGGTCTCTCTGCAAGAAAGAGAGAAACAGCTCACTCCTGAAGCTCAGGTGAGATCTGTTTAACCTGGAATCATGCTGGCCGGTGTGTCTGCACATGTGCTGTAGCCCGACTGTAGATGCTGTAGACTCTGGCTTCAGTAGTGATGAATGAGGTGAACAGGTGTATTACTACCTGTTCAGCTGCCCACAGAATGACAGGACGTTCTCCTGTATCTCCAGCTTGGTGCCAATAGTTTGTGTTAGCATCTTTCCTTTCCAACACAGCAGTACCATGTATGAAAGCCTCCTCCATAGACATGTGGTTTACCCATTTTAGTCTGGAACACAAACTGTTTGCCCGGTTCTGTCACCAGGCATCAGCACTGGACCTCTCTGTTGTCCTGTGGCTGAACGGGACAAATCCCTGCAGACAGGTTGGGGTCCAGAACACTGAGGTGAACCTGGAGGCTGGTGTAGACGCATGCCAGGGGTTTGATTTGTTAACAGACTATACAAAGGACAGCTTATTAACAGGAAGAGGTTTGTGTCCCACCTGCAGGCCCGGATCACCACCCGCCTTCAGCAGTACCGGGCCAAAGCAGAGCTGTCAAGGAACACCAGGCCCCAAGCGTGGGTGCCCCGGGAGAAGCTGCCGCGACCTCTGACCTCCAGTGCTTCAGCCATCAGGAAGCTGATGAGGAAGGCAGAGCTGATGGGCATCAGCACCGACATCTTCCCCGTGGACACGTCTGACGCCAACGCCAGCATGGATGGGCGCAGGAAGCACAAGCAGCCCGCGCTCACAGCGGACTTTGTCAACTACTACCTGGGTGAGGAAGCTGGGTCGCTTTGTGCTGAGTCATAGCTCAACTAGTTAAACCTTAACCTGGGAACCATCAGGTATCAGCTGAGAGTCTGTAGTCACCTGGCTGCCAGTCGCTGTTTAAAGGCCTTCAGTCTCAAGTAATGTTTCCCTCCACAGGACGACATAGTATAGAAAGGCTCTGGAAGCTTTGTGATTGTGAAATCTATGTTTATGCACCTCCTGTGGTGGTCTTCTGCTCCTGTCAGTCTTATTTACTGATACGTTACTACAGCATCAGTAGCATTACAGTCTGTTTATAGTAATGTCTATTTGTTAGATGTTTGGCATCATAATTGTAATGTCAAAGCAGCTGAAACCCTTCCAGCGGGTCTCTACAGAATGTATAGCCGTAGCATGATGTGGTGGAGTTATGAAGCTAGCGCTGTGTAAAGGCCTTTCCCCCTAATACATGACCCTGTAATGTAGGTAACCTTGAGAGCTCAGTGTGTTAGCGTGCAGCAGGAGGCTATCGCCATCAGTACCCCCTCTCATGTGCTCTTCCTATAGGCTGTGATTGTGCTATTGATTTTTGTCCCATTGACATTCAGAGCGGAACATGCGAATGATCCAGATCCAGGACAACATCTCCGAGCAGAAGAGCCTAAAAGACAAGCTGGAGAACGAGCAAGAAAAACTGCATGTGGAGTACAACAAGGTGAGCAGCACCACCTGTGGGGTCCTAGTGTCTGAGGACAGGCTGTTGTTGAGGAACACAAGTTACCTGTTGTAGCCGAGTCACTCAGGATCTCTGGTAGTGAGCTGCAGCCACCTGTGTGATGCTGTGTCTGCAGACCACACGCTGGTGAGTTAGGTAAAGAGATGGAATGGATTCCAATGGTGAAAGAGTTTGCTTCACTTGTTTGACGTACATCTCAGGACGTTACCTGTTGGATCTGTTGAGCTGCCACTCTGGGATCCTTTAGACAAGTTGCTCCGTTGCTGTAAAACGTCTCCTACAGCAGCTCTGCTGTCGGCTGGGAGTGAAGTAACGACACCTGTTGCTCTGTGTGTCTGCTCTGTAAAAACCAGTTTCATTTCTCATGTTGTCGCCATGAAAGCTGCTTACGAGAGCATAAAAGTGTGCTTGTTCATACAATGCTTCACTGTTGCACATTGATTCACAGGAAACAGCTTCTACTACCTAAATACTGATGCTAATGAAACGGTGAATGTTGTTGTTTTTAATGACGGCATTGCAGCACCCTTCTAGTGCCAGTATGTCCAACTATAGCAATGCTAGTGGCTGTGGAGTCATTGGAGGAAATGCTAATGCTCTCATGCTAACACAGTAACAATGCTACCTTGGTCAGGCCATCAGCGGACAGACATTTCACTCTGTTTATTGGTTCCTCAGCTGTGAAGGCGCGAATGACAGCACGCTAACCAGGTAAAAGCTGATATAGCTGCACCAACGTGGTTCCTTAGAGCACACGTGTCAAACTCAAGGCCCGGGGGCCAAATCCGGCCCACTGTGTCATTTTATGTGGCCCGCAAGAGATGTGTGTCTCCTAATCTGATCAATTATATGATTAATATGAATAATTATTAACAATTTTATGATTATTTAATAATTACAATTATTTAATGATTCATTAATTTGATAATTGATTAAACTAATTAATATGATTTACGTAATCTAACATAATTTAATATAATGTTATAACAACACAGCAATGTGCCCACATATAGTTCACTTTTAGGTAAATGCATGCACAGTATTTGTACATAAATAATAATTAAATGCAGAGACATTTATTTAACAATATGTTAAGGAGTCGTTACATTTATACAGTCTAACAATTACAACCGGTCCTTTGAGGGCAAACACACAGCTGATGTGGCCCCGATGAAAACCAGTGTGACGCCCCTGCCTTATAGGACCTCTGGAGGTTGAATCCATTTTTGTAGAACTCACTGAGTGCAAACGTAAAGCCGTGGCCACTCTGAGTGACACGCTGAGCCTCAGAGCCACCGTTCAAGAACTGTATGGGTCTTGTCCATCCTTATACATAGTCAGTGGCCGGAGCCTGTCCTAGCTGATACCGCACCCTGGATAGGTCACCAGTCCATGGCTTGGCTGTCATAGTTTGGTCATTATTGTTGGGTGGACATTAGTATTTGTACTGTATGTGTAGGGATATTCCAGATTAAGGAATCCATTTCACAAAATAATGCATTTTGCAGATAAAACAAAATCATGTTCAGTGTTCATTTTGAGTGGTGCTTGATGGTGTTCTACATGTTTTATAAGTGTAGCCCTGTGATAGACTGGTTACCTGTCCAGGTGAACCTAAGTCAGCTGAGATAGACTCCGCCCCCCATAGTGAGCATTAAGGTGTAGAGCTGATGGGTGGATGTTTTCTAAGTATTATAAGTTAATCAGTGTTCTTTGCTGTGTTGGCCGGTTGTTATAGAAGTGAATTATTCTCATGTCAGACCTTCCAGCTGTTTCTCTGCATCAGACACTTCAGGTGCTTTAAAGGCCTTCCTGTGCTGTGTTGTGTGTTTTCCTGTGTGGACCTTCCTCTTGTCTCCTCTATGTGAAGACGCTGCTGCTTCATCTGTCAACATGAGAAGGAAAATCCGACGTCAGAGTAAAAGTCACACGAGTTAATGTTGCGTTCAGTCTTCTGCCATGCGTGTTAAGCGTTATTAATGGAGTGTGTGTTGCTAATTGTGCCGCCTCAGTTGCTCTTGTGTGGCTGTAGCCTTGGAGAGAACGCTGGTGGAGACTTGTCATTAGGTCCGGCCTTGACAGATACAGAGACCAGGACCAGGTTCAGTCATGACACGAGACTCAGCTGTTGCAGATCACATGAAGTCCTGCTGAATAGACAGGCACCAGAGTGAAGTTCTGCTACGTCTGTGCACATTAGACTCAGTTTGATCCTTTTTCCCTTTGTTGAACCCCTGGCAGTTTAAAAAAAGGTCCCAAAGCATCTGTTTTTATCAAATAAGTATTGTGAGCTTGATGTTTCAGTGCTGCCAGACCTGAAGGATCTGTAGTGAAGCTCCATCGCTGTCTGAGTGGTCAGTGGTTGTAGTGAATGTAAATGAACCCCAAAGTGAAACCAGAGCTTCCAGGTTCTGAAACCTTCATTAACACATTCACATTTATAATAATGTACATCTGAAAAACACCAAGCCCTTTCCCATAACCTGGCATTACTGGTAAATAAAACATGCATCCAACTCTTTGTTAAAGATGAGAAAGGTTTCTGTCTTTCTGCTCTTGCTTTCCAACGTTTAGACCAGCTACTCCTGTGTGTGTCCATGTCTCATGCTTCCTCTTCTCTCCTCCTGCAGCTCTGTGAGTTCCTGGAGGAGCTGCTGAATGTGAATGGAGAGCTGCGAGGCGAAGGCCAGGCCATGTGGACTCTGCTGGGGGGCATCCTGGGCCAGGTACTGCCTCTTCAAATGCCTTCTCCCTCTCTCATCTCCAACCATCCTTCCCCTCACACACAGTAACTGAAGTGTTTGTAGAATCCCCTTTGTTAGCGTAGCACTGATGGAGTGTTGTCTGTATAGCGACCCACATGGCTAACAGCAGGTAATACCGCTGCTTTTAAAGTCCTTTAATTCCCCACTCCAGATTGACCCGTCATTTGCCATGAAGTCAGACCTGACCGTGTCGGTAGAAGCAGCCTCCCGCTTTGTGTTTCCCATGGCAACCATCTTCCACCAGTATGGCTGGTGGGCAGATGGATGGATGTGAACTGACATCTACAAAAACAGACTAACATTAAAGATCCATATGAAATAATGATGTGTGCAGCAAACAGCCATAGATAACAATCAGCCAGTCGTTCCATAATTGTTTTATGAAATGTTCCTTTTATAGTACGTTTTACTTAAAAATGTTTAGTGTAATTTTTATTTGATTTCAAAATGCATTTCCCCTGTAAATTCAAAAGGATATTTTCTTTGGCTGAGGTCACGTCTATCCACATCACCGCCAAACAGATACTGGGTTTTTTGTATATGTTAATTATTTTAATATATTTTACTGTATCAGGCCAGTACTGGACCATAATTCTGGCTGATCAGTGTATCTGTTGGGCTTTAGTTTACATCACTGTAGCACTCACCCAGTTCCCAGTCTCCTCGTTAGGAATAATAACTCTGAATTTAAGCAACGATCTCCTACCCAGGTTCTCCTCGTTGCTCTCCAGTGTTCAGCATGGTCGTGAACTTGAACATTATGCTAATGAACAACAAATAAGTACTAAATTCCTGTGACTTTATCTCTGATATCGGCTCCTCTCCATGTTCACCTGTACAATCAGTCACAGTCACAGTCACCTGAGATTAAAGCTAATGCAGCTAATTCTGGTCTTTAATATAAGAGTGTTTAAAAAAAAAAAAAAGAAAAATATAATGAGCACGTAGGACAGTGTAGTCACTTCTTTAGGATTTTATCTATTTAGTCTAGCACCAGCTGAATCCATCAGACACTTTATTAAGTGTGGTCATTGAGAGTATGAGCCGTGCAGATAAATGGTCAAATGATGTGGCGAGCTAGCAGAATGGACAGCAGCTCAGAGGCTGGCAGTGAATCTGCAATGACCGCCATAAATCACCTAATTATGAACACGCACGCTTTAAGTAGCAACATCAGTCACAGCACCGCATGCTTTTGTGTCATCTATCTGCCACATTTTCATCTCCTATTTGTCATCCTGCTGGTGCATTTGCAGAAATTATTGATGTCCCCAACTGGGACTGCCATCACTCTTCCAGTACACAGTCAGTGCTTTTGTTCGCCATGCTCCTCAAAGTTTAGCACTCTTGGCAACTTCACAAGAAAACATTCACAAGACATTTTCCAGCAGCTGCTATAAAACACTGTGAGGCTCCAGCAGCTCCCAGCTCTAGTGTTCTAGAGCAGTCCGGTTCCAGCAGAACAGAAATACCAACCGGACCTGCATCACAGCATCTTCAGCAGTTTAGAGCTAGAGGAGTTTGAGGCCTGCACAGGTGGTATATCTGGATAATGGAGCATGATGAACACACAAAACAGAACAAAATAATTCAGTTCTGCTGATTGTTATCTCCAGACTATGAGTGTATCACGTTACTATACGGTACAAGCACACAGACATCCTATCAGGTCTCATTAATGACACCCCTCCAGCCCTTTGCCCTCTGTGTGGGCCTTTGTCACCTACTTGTCTTCCCTGTTCATGCAGGTGCTCTGTTCTTACCTTTATCTGTGTGTAAAGTGTTGTTTCATTGTGTTGTTTCATTTTTATGCATCATCATTTATAAGCAGTCTCAAGTGACTGAAGCTGTCACCAAGTCACCTCCAGCTGGATGAGAGGAGCTGCTGTTGGTGCTACCAGCCACGTTTATATTCCCACAAAGCCATGAAGAGATGTTTGTTTCCCGTGATGTGGTGTTTGATCAGAGAGCTTCAGATAGCAGCAGCTTCAGGCCCGACCAGGCAGCATCGTGGGCTGGACTCACAGCTGAAGCACACGTCTTACAGATAGCATGAAGGAGCCTCGCTGTCTGCTCAGGACTGTCTCCAAGTTGTGTTTTGAGCCACTGGTTGATTACTTACTTTCTGATATTGTTTCATATTCATTATTTTACACCACTGAAAGTGAGCGGTTTGTTCCAGTCTGAGCGATGCCAGACAGCTTAGAGCCCGTCTGCTCCAACCCACTATTTATCACCAGTACCTTTAAACCGTTCATCTGTCTGATAAAGCGTGTTAACAGCGTTGAGACCGTTCCATATCAGTGGTGGAGACACTTCCTCGTGGTCAGATGCTGGCAGACTGCAGTCCAGGTGGAGGAGATAGCCTGAGCAGGCCTTTGGTCGCCCGTCCTCCCATCTATCAGGCCTCCCTGTGGGGATGCTCCTTGGCGCTGCAGGCAGAGCAACCACGCTCAGATTAGAGCCTCCTCAGGGAAAACCTTGTCTGTTTAGTGACAGACTCGGTCCCGGTGAGATAAGTTTTCTAATTAACTTGCGTGGCAGCGCTGCACCTGAGATGCAGGAAGGAATAAACTGCATATCTGTTGCTGCTTCTCACCTGCCACACGAAACGGTTTCTCCTCAAACCTTTTCTCAGCTGCCTGAGAACTTTTACAGCGATGCTTCAGCTAACAGTGATCATACAGTCCACACACTCTGCCTGCTTTAGTCTGCTGGAGACGTAATGGTGGATAGAGAAGCTGAAGGCCATCTTTATGCTGTCAGGGCTTTCTTTGGTTTTATTTTGTTGTTCTTTTGTTGACCACTGAAAAGCTGCTCAAGTGTAGAGACTTGTACTAAACTAACTACCAGCTCTAGATGGAAACATGCAGCAGAAACATGGTGAGCAGCAGATCAGTGCAGCTATGCAGTGGAGGTAAGTGGACTTCACAAAAACAACATGATATGAGCTCCTAGGAACCACCAGCAGCTGCCATGACGCTGGTGAGGCATGTATGTGACCGACTGCTGGTTCAGCACCAACACAGGCTTCCAGCAACAACCTGAAGGTTTCATGGAAACAGTGTCCTGAACTGGCAGCGCCATGTCAGAGAACAGACGTTGGTTTGCACAGATCTCCACCTGGAGAAATGACATTTAAAGTTCAGCATCAACTTTTTCTTTCCACAACAGCGTCCTCATTACCACGGACTGCTCGGTGTGCTTCCTATAAAGGAAAAGGCTTAAGGAGCCCCTGGACCATGCAACCTGGAAGATAAGTTACAGTTCAGGAAGAGTAAATATTAATATGTGGAAATCTGTTTGTCTTTTCTTTTTCCTTTTGAAAGAAACTAAACACTCCAGCGATCCTGAAAGCCCCAAAAGAGAGGAAACCGAGCAAGAAGGAAGGAGGAACTCCAGGGAAGTCCTCCAGCCTGCCAGCGATCCTCTACAGGTGAGCACACACTGTCTGGAGAGACGCTGAGACAGGAGAATGAAGGGTTAAAGACAGAAGTTAAGAAGTCTTGACATAAACCCCTAATTGGCTCACACTCATTGATGTGTTTCCACAGCTGTGGCATCTGTAAGAAGAACCAGGACCAACATCTGCTGGTGCTGTGTGACACATGCAAGCTCTACTACCACCTGGGCTGCCTGGAACCGCCTCTGACCCGGATGCCCAAGAAGACCAAGAACAGCTACTGGTGAGAACCATGGAGACACTTGGGTGGTCCAACACAGGCTGGTAGTGTAGGATCCACATGTCAGGCCTGGTCCAGCACCAAGTCCATCTCTGACATGTTGGTGCCATCTGGACCATGTCGGGCTCTGAGAACCTCAGGGAGGGTCTCCTGCTGGTGCCCAGAGTCAGAACCAGGAACAGACACGCTGAGGCTAGAACAACTACTACTACTACTACGACTACTAGAACTACTACTGGAACTACTACTACTACTACTACTACTGGAACTACTACTACTACTACTACTGGAACTACTACTACTACTACTACTACTACTACTACTACTACTACTACTACTACTAGAACTACTACTGGAACTACTACTACTACAACTACTAGAACTACTACTACTACTACTACTGCTGCTACTACTACTACTA